ACTTATGCATATGTAAGTCACCTGGACTAGGACTCTGGAGACCAGAAATCAAATCCCAGCTCAGCCATGAAACCCACCTGGGGAAAGTCACACACTCTCAGCCTCAGAGGATGGCATTTACAAACCCCCTCTGAAGAAATTTGCAAAGGAAACCCCATGATAGGGTCACCATAAGCCGGAAAGACTTGAGGGCACACAACATCAACCAAATGCAACAAGAAGACGATGGACTAAAGTTGCGGACGTCAATCAAACTATTAAACCCAAAGTTTTAACATCCCTTCTCTGTGCCACTGAGGACAACAGGTCCTCATCTGAAACCCCTTTGGAAATATATAGTTGAGGATGGGGACATCCTGGCTCACAGCTCATGCTTTTAACCACCTTGCTTGCTACCTTCTGGAGAAAGAAGAGCTTTTCTATATTTCCCCCAACCTTTGCTTCAGCCATAGGCATACAGGTAGCTTGAAAGCCCTCCACCTTGTATCAGAAGATAGGTGATCTCTTGCTATTTATCTGTTTGTTCTTCCAAGGTATCTCAACAAGGAAATAGGAATGTCAGGTGCTTTCCAGGATAGAAAAAAGTGCTATTATTTTTTGCCGAAATGCCCTTTGGTCACAAACTATATGTGCCTCTTTCTTGCTAGCAGAAAAGGCTATTGTTAACAACCCACTCTCAGCAAAAGCAAAGTACTCTTTTGTGCTTTTGCATGTATTTTTTTTGCAACAATACACAATTCAAATGTGTGCACATGCGTGTGTGGCTTGTTCATACTTGTGCGACAATTAGACCCCATTCTGGGTTTTCCCGGTGCTGTTGAAAATGAGGCCCTGGTTTCACTTGCCAGTTATTGCTTTTCCCCTTTCTCCAGGGTGGCCAGTCTATCCTCAACTGTCAAAGCATATATATATATGCTTTGTATACACACACACACACACACACACACACACACACACACACACGCACACACGCACACACGAATGTGCATGCGCACACACACACAATATAATGGATTGGCGTTTCCAAAGACCAGCCACCTGAAGCAGGATAGATATGAAGAAGGCAACAGCTTAAATACAGACAATTCAGGTAAGTGACCCAGCCAAAACTTAACAAAATTAATTTTAATGGACCCACATCATAGGGACAGCAAATTTTCCAACTGTTCCAATTTGCTAGGGGCAATCTTGATTAATTCTCTTTCAATCCATTTTTTTGCCCAGTTGCGTTTACAAAATGTCCCAGTTTCTCTCTCTTCCTCCCATCTTTCCCATCTGTCCTCAGCTCACTTCAGTTGCTGCAAACTGGGTTCAAAGTGCAAAAATAATTTATTGTTGCTGTGTGCCTTCAAGTCACTTCTGACTTACGGCGACTCTAAAGCAAACCTATCACAGAGTTTTCTTGGAAGAATTTGTTTAGAGGAGGTTTGCCCTTGCCTCCCTCTGAGGCTGAGAGAGTGTGACTTGCCCAAAGCCACCCATTTGAAGAGGGACTTGAATCCTGGTCTTTCAGAGTCCTAGTCCAACACTCAAACCATTACACCACGGTTCTCACGCAGTTGATTTGCAGGGGGCAGAAAAGAAGTGGATCTTTCCATTCCCTGTAGGCTCAGGCAAAATCAAACTGCTGCAGCCTATTTTAGCTTGTAATAAAAAGCTCACACTGAGGGTGCTTGGTATGGAATTCTGGGAATTGCAGTTTGTTGTTGCACCAGAGCTTTCAATCAGAGATGGCTAAATGTCTCACTAAAACTATATAGCACTGAGCCATGGTACTTAAAGCATTGTCAAACTGGATTATTTCTGCAATGTGGATGCAGCCTGGATATACCTATCCAAGTAGCTGATCTAGGATATGAGCCCTTCTTGTTCCAGGATCCACTCTCTTTTGTCCCAACACCACAAAGGGTGGGAACGTTAAAGCTTGAAAGGTGAGGACGCCAGTTCCCACGCGACAAACAATGGAGCCGAGAGGAAGGAGCAGCGTTTCTTGCATCCTGGCACTGAAAAACCAGGTTGCTAGATTTCACGATTTGCAGAGAAACCACAGTGCTGTTGTTGCTCTTGCAATGAGAATGGCCCCTACCTGCCGCAGTGTGATTTTTCGGGACGTGACAAATGAACAAGGAGATGATCCTTTGTCACCGAACCTTGATGTCCAGCTGGTCTCCCCTTGCCTTCTTGCAGCTGCCCCGGAGTCCTGGTGGAAACTGCCTAGGGCCAGAACTGGGTCTGTCAGCATTATTTCTCCTCGTGGGTGAAATGTATTGCTCCTTAAATCCAGTGGTTGCTACGGCTGGTGGGCCAAAAGCATCATCTTTGTGTTGCACACATGTACAGGGCACATTGCACAGAGATGCATGGCAAGAATTTGAGAAAGCAGCTGGAGAAGAGGGATGGAGGAGTCCGGATTGCTGCGTGGAGACCTTTCCGACCAATAACCCCAAAGAAAGAGCAATAACCCCAAAGTCACTTGGTGAGAATCACAATGAAGTTGAATTTCATGAAAGTGGATTTCTCCAGTCCCACTCTTAACCACCACACCACACTGGATTTCTAATCCTTTGAACTGAGAAGCACTAGACACTGACGGAACTGGATTGATTTGAAATGCATTGATTACATAGAGTGCATTTGGGACGAGTGTAAACGAGGATTCAACCCGGATGCATCCCGGATCATTTTCGTAGTGTGAATGGAGCCGAAGAAAGGCCTTCTCCGCAACCTACTTTTTTTTTTTTTTTAAGCAGCAACCCATTTGAAAATTTAAAAAGCAAATAATGGATATCCTAGCCTGCTTGGAGAAGAGATCCTTCTCTCACTTGTCTTGGGAATGGGGGTCTTTCTTTCTGTCAAGCCAGGATGCTCCAACTCAGGCAGAGAACCACGGTGGGAGGTGGTTGTTGTTGTTGCTGCGAGTGAGTAACCCAAGAATTAGCCCCAATTACAGCTCGTTCTTTGCAATCCTGCAGCGTCCAAAACAAAAGTCAGAGATCAGGAGAACAGGCAGCTAATCCCATAACTGGATCATTCATAGCCAAGTCAGCTGCAGTGGGTTCAGATGTCAGCAGAGCAGCCGACTCAC